TCATTTGTAGTCCTTTGTTTTAAATTACTTTTTCGAGTTAAATGTTTCGAAAAATCTAGAGAAGAAACATTTAAGATATTATCTATTTAATAAAAAAACAAAAAAAATTCTTACCAAGTCTATCAAATTTTAAATCAATTTTATAAAAAGCTAATTCTTGTTCAAGTTTACATTGTTTTTCACATGCTTGATGAAGTAATGATGTTTTACGTTGAAGAAGTTCTTCACTAGTAGATAATCTTTCTTGTAACTCCTTAAAAGTAAATATTCATTATAAGAAAAAACAAAAAAAAAACTTCTAAATTAAAACTAGAAATCATTTTAATCGATAAATCAATATCAATATGTGTTTTTATAATTTATTTTCTATAGTATACAAAATTTATCTAAATTTACCAAATCATTTTCAATTATAAACATATTAATGATGAATTCGAATAACTTGTTAGAATATAGAAAAAAAATTTTAATAAAATAAAAATGAATTTTTTTATTTTCTTAATTTTCAATACGAATTATTATTGAAACTTAATGATAAGTGTTAAGTGCGTTTTTTTGTACGTCACTAAATGTCTTCTGACTGTAGATAGAACTGATATATCATTGTGATGTTAAGCATTTATAATCGTATTATACGACTATGGATGAAAAACATCATCATTTCATTGAAATTGTTAATGCAAAAGAAACTTTTACCTACAACATTTCATATAAAACTACGAAGTTTTAATGATAGGTTTGTAGAAAGAAAACATAATTTTAATTATCATGAGAGTAAATAATAGTGACAATGAGGTATATTACAGATGATTTGAAGATTTATGAAAACTAACTATTAGTGTACTGATTTACTAAGGAAAGAACACTTCTAACTGTCAATGTATAATTCGTTTATCATTCGCTCAGTCATGATAAACAGTGAAAACGTCTGATTTTCCGTCTTCGCTTGTCCAGTTACAAGCTTTTTTTTCATTATTCATCAAAGTCCTTCCGAATGACTATAAGTTTAAAACGAAAAGTGATTCGACAGTTGAGAATGTTTTCTTTTTTTATTAGTGAAGTACGAAGAAACAGACGTTGTGTAAATGATTGAAATAACTTCTTTCAATGTTTGTTTTAACTGTAATATAAATTACCTAATAGTTACTATTCATCGAAATGAAAGAAAAACATCGATTTAAAGACAGAATCTGTATCGAGCTTTAGTATAGGATAAGTCTTTCTGAAAAATTAATCAAGTTCTATTCAACATTTACTATTTAATTTCTAATTCGTTTGATAATCAATTATTTTATGTACAAAAGGAAGAAACATCTTTCAGTTCTCTACGATGTTCTTTAACCGAAATACTTCAATCTTATGGAAGGCATAAAAATGATATTTCTATAGAAAATAGCTGAAACAATGACTTCTATAAGGTTAATGTATTTCGGACAAAATTCCATTGAATAAAGTTGGAAACTGTATTGTTATCTTATAGTAAATTGTTGCCGCTAACATTCAGAATAATTCAAACAGAATTCTATTTGCAAATACCTAGATATGAGAAACTTGGTTCTAGTTCTATCCTTGAAAAACTAGCAATCATTTTCATTTTCAAGAGCTTGCTATGAAAATCACTGTTTGCATCCTTATTAGTGTTTAGGATACTAAGAAAACAATCGAATAATTTTGGAAGTCACTGTTAAAGACCAGTACATAAGTCAGAATTGGAGTCAAAGTTGATATAAATCATAGAAACTTCGAAAGTCTTTGATTATTTCTTTTCTTATGTAATATAATTTGATAGAAATACTCACACAAATTTCATTTGTATTTTATGGATTTTTTTTAATGATACTAATTAAACTTATAATCTCTTTGCATGACATAAAAAAATATTTAAGAATCTAATTAACTTGAATTTTTCTGTCTTACATCTAGCATATCGATTATCTCTAATTTTTGTTTTTGGAAGAACAATTTTCTGAGTTGTAATAAAAAGAAGTTTTTGATTCGATAATTTCAAAATATATTTTTCATATCTTACTTTAATTTCTTTAGCTTGCATTAAACTTTTATTTTCAAGTGATTGAAGTTTATCACTTGTTATTTCTAATTTTTGTTCACTATTTATTGCTTGTGTATTTAAACGTCGACATTCATTATCACGACGTTCAAGTTCATGAAGTAAATTTTGTACTTCTTGTTGAATAAATCTAAAATATATATTGAATTTTATAATAGAAAAATTTCAATAATTTATTATTATTTACTGTTCTTTTGCTTGTTTTCGTTCATTTTCATTAATATCAATACCATCAAGTCTTTGTAAACTTGGAATATATGATATAACAAGTAAACGATAATTTTCATTTTTTTCAATTGGATTTCCTTGAAGATGAATTTCACGTAATTCATATAATGTACGTAAACGTGCTATTTGATCAAATGATGATATTTGATTATTTGATAAATTTAAATATTTTAATAATGTTAATTTTTTTCCAAACCATATTGGTATTGTATGTATTTGATTTTGATGTAGATCAAGATTTTCTAAACGTAATAAATCTTCAAGATTAATTATTGTATTAATAAAATTATTAGCTAATGATAAATATTTAAGTTTTTTTAATGTTTTTAAACCATCAATTTTTTCAATAATATTATTTGATAAATCAAGATTTTCTAAATTAATTAATGTTTGAAGATTTTCTATATAACGAATTTTTTTATCACGTAAATTATTAAGATTAAGTATATGTATACGTGTAACATTATTTTGTTTAGTAATTTTACGTATAAATCCATCAGTTATATAACGTATACCATATTTTAAACGATCAACACTTGTTGGAGGTGTTGGCAAATGTTGTGATGTTGAATTTATTCGACTTATACGATTATCAATACTTTTAGAACGAGTTGGAGATTCTATTATTGTCTCGCCATCATTATCATCATCATCATCATCAAGATCAGCATCATGGAATGTTGGTGTCGCTGGCAATGCTGAATCGTGTGACATAGTAGGCGACGAAATAGATTCAGAATGACGACCATCAGGGCTTCCACGATCATTCGTTTCAATTTCCATTATACTGAAAAAAGAATTTAATTGACAAATGTTGTTTACATTAACAAGAAAAAAAAAGACACTTTGTTTGCTTCAATTCTTGAAAAAAAAAGAGACGAAAGAAAATAGTTTTTTTGTTTTCTTATTTTAAAATGAAAATTTCATTAGAGAGAAATTGAATCATTTTAAGAACTAGTGAGTAATATTTCTACTAAATACTCAACTTATTCACTTCTCTAATGTCACTATGTAAACCGCAAAGCTGCTCTCCACAAAATTTATCCCTTCATTCAAATGCTCACTGTCATGGAAACGCCCTTTTTTCTTTTTAATTTAAGTTTTCCATTTTTAAATTTTATTTTCTTTCTCTTTATAAGATGATTTTCAAGTGATGTTTCCAAGAACAAAAAATACTATCTAAAGCTCTTGTTTTTTCTTTTTTTTGTAAAACCTGACATCTATACGTTTCCTTAGTAACAAATGAATAAGTATGGCGTCTGATGACCACTAATAGCCTGTGAACTATTGAAAAATCAAATGATCATTTTTTGAATATCTTAAATTTAAATCAATAATCTTTTACATATAATCGATGGCTTCTATGGATGAAGTGTCATCGTTATCATTACAGAAATCAGTTCAATCACCATCAATACTAATGCAGCAACACATAAATAAGACTAATCCTTGTACATTTTTATCAATAATTCATAGTCAACAGTCAGTAGTAAAGAAAAAGATTTGTTCGAAATCTTTAATCTATCCAATAGCGGCTTGGTTTATATTTATTATTTTGACAATAATCTATTTTATTTTTGTGTAGGTTTTCTAGAAAAATTCATTTCAGCAATATTATGACAACTTGAATAAGAGAAAAAGAAAACCTATATTCATTGTCATTAAACTTTGAATATATATATATTTTTTTGAGAGAATAAATGAGCGAAAATCAAATATTTATACTACATACATTTTTTTTTTATCAAGGTGTCCATGGTATTATCACAATGTATGTAAAATAATACCAATATTTCTAGAATCAACTAAAATTTTAAAATGAATTTAATTCAACTTGATGAATAGATAATATTTGAAACAAATCCGAGTGTATTATAAACGTAAATTATTATTTACAATGTTGAATATTAGAAATTGTGCTTCTATTGATTAAGTCATTGAGTATTTTCTCAAGGTGATTGAGTGTTTATTCAAGTTCTTATGTCAATAAACATAAGAACTTATGAGGCAAAAAAATGTTCTCTACTGCTCAATTTCTTTTCAATTAAAAATTATTGCTATTCGATTGATCAAAAAAGATCTGTTTTGATTTAATTTTCCAGTCTTTACTTCTTCAGTTATCGGTATTTAACTCGATGAGCAGAGAATTATTGAGTACTCGGATAATTGAATTTTGTGCCTTAGAAACTCTTCAAAGTTTGAAATAGCATTCATGCACTCTAATCAAAATATCAACTTGCTGAAATACAGTCTGAAATAAGTATATCTTTTAAATGTAAATATCTTGACAGACCTACGCTGAAACTTTAAAGCCTTTCCAATAGACAAATTTTCAGTCATTCAGATTCTCAGTGACTCAATACTAAGGGCAAAAATGAAGTAAAACGCCCATATTTTTGATAGATGAAGATCGAAAAATAAACTTGTTTTTTTTTCATTACACGCCAAGATCAATCGAATGATAGTAGTTTTAAATCAAAAGCAATTTAACAATTCTAAATATTCTCCTCATCAATCTCATCTACCAAACATTATTTTTTTGATAAAATTATTCTTTACAAAAACAAAAAAAGATTTTCGTTAAAAATAAAAAAAAGTTATTCATAGTATTTCTAATTCTAAAAATAAAAAGCACTTAAATCATGTAAACATGATCAATAAAAATATAGATATATGAATCAAAAAAAGAAATTATTTATTTATTTTAAAATATTAAAACTAGTAAAACTGGCATAATAAGAATTAATAGTTTACTTATTGATTCAACACGAATACTAAAAGCTGAATCATATGATATACGTTCCCAATTAGCACCATAATTACCAGTTTGACTTCCATATGGTTTTGATTTTGATTTAGATACATCTATACTATCATCTTCATCACTACTGTCTGTAGATGAAGGTGATTTTTTTCCATTTTTTAATATCTCATTGACAACATAGATTTCTGGTGTTGTCAAGATTTTTTTTATTATTGTTGTTTTTCGTTCGGTAGTAGATATTGTACTACTAACAGTTGAAGTTTTATGATGATGAGCTAAATTTTTTGCTTGCTGTTCACTTCCTGTTAACCAAGGAACTATTTAAATAAATAAATAAAAAAAAAAAAAAGAAATAATTTTTTGTTTTTGTTTTTGTGTTTACGTGAAATAGAATTGCATAAATTTGAATGGCAACATGTTTCAATGTGAACATCACTATCAAGTGATATATCAATTGGTGTACAATAACGACTTGCACATGTTCGATATGGTATATGATTAATAAAACCAGCCTTTTAATATAAAATAAGAAAAATTTTTTTTTTTTTTTAAATTTATATTATGAATATTTACCCAACATAATTGTGTATTTTTATTACATATAATCAAATTATCATCATCATTTGAAATTTTTTCACAATTGCTACCTTTACATGAATAACATAAAAGTTTACTAGCATTGGCTATATTATATATAAAACTTGATTCAGTTAAATGAATAATATAAAATCCTATTATTAATAATTGTGTCAGTTGATAATGCATTATTTAACAAATCCGATGATGAATAGCCAGATGATATTATACTTTATTATGTTTTGGTTTTGTTTCTTGCTTTTTTTTTTTTTTTTTTCTTCTTGTCGTTTGGTTACAGATGCAACTGTAACCTTGTTTTGTAATAAATCGTCTCACAACGATTGCGGCAAAAATGTTTCTGTATGTAAAAAAAAAAAAAATCAGCCAAGTGTGAAGGACAATATTATGAAGGAGGTATATCAGCAATACATATGTTTTGTTTCACACGTTTTATATATCATCATAATAATCGATTACATTTATCAATCATTATTTGTACGATAAAAAAAACCTAAAATAAAGTTAGTTTAATATATATATGTACCATGATTGAGTATTTCTTCTCAAGTAAACCAATATCAAAAATATATATTGTCATAAGATATATAATTAACAAGGAAAAAAAACGAACAGAATACAAAAAATTTTGTTTTTTATTTTATCCGACTTCTACTTACGAGTTTACCAATTCGAATGGCTAAGAAAAATCTTCATAAACATAAATATTTCAATGAAACAAAAAAAAAACAAAAGAAGAACGTGACGGAATGTTTTTTTGTAGAAAATATTTTATCGACTTGAAATAAATAAAAATATTTTTTTTGATAGAAGAAGTAAAATATTTGTTTATTATAAATCATTCATTCATAGCCTGTTATATCGATGTGATGATATTTTTTTGGTTACCAATTGAATATTATTTCAATGAGTAGGTTTTATTTTATAAATGAACTAAAAATATGTAATCAATAAATATATAGTTTGACTTGAATTCATGAGTTTAATGTAAAACCTTTATATACACATTTTCATGAAATGGTTCAATGGATTGAAGAACAATTCTTTGTTTATATTTGCAGAATTTTGTTTCATCATTTGTTGAAATATTCGATCAAATAATTTTGTATTTATTAACTCATAAAGAATTTGAAATGATGTTTTTGTTTTTCATCTTATGTAACTTACCATATTGAATTTTATATGAATAGGAAATGAATATTTTATCTTAATAATTATATTTTCAAACATGTCAATATGTAAATAATATGACATGCAATTATAACAATTTAGAAAAAAGAAATATATATATATATAAATTTTAAATACCTTAACCATATTATATTCTGTGAATTAATTAAAGAAATTTCATCATAATATATAACGATACAATTCATATTGTAAAATAATACAAATAAATATAATATTTAAACATTTATAAAAGAATTTTTTTTTTTTATAAGATAAATTTTTCACTCATATATAAGTTTGTTTTGTTTTTTTCTCTTTAAGAATTTATAAACTATACTGACAAACCCATTTCTATTCTAGGTTGTTTCTTTTTTGTTTTATCATTACGTAAACGAAATAAAAAAAACAAAAGAAAAATCATTTGTTATGAATCTGAGTGAAATTCTATATAAAACCGAAAGAAAAAGAAAAGAAACGCACACACACATACGAGACGAATGACAAAACAAAAAGAAATTTCATATCGATCAACGTCCTACTGTATACACAGAATGAATAAGAATCAAAAAAAACAAAAGCAACACGCACAAACAAAAAAGAAAACTGATGAGAAAAAAAAACAAAACAATGTTTAAAAATTTTAGTGCATGTGTAAGTATGAAAAGAAAGCATCAACAATAGTAATTCATGGTCGCCAAAGACCAGATTGACGAACAGCTTGTTGAAGTAATGCTTGTGCACGACTTATCTGTTCTGGTGTTCCTTCAATTGTTATTATTCGATCACCACCACCTGTACCAGTAGGAATTGGTTGATCATCAATAATAATATTTGCATTTGTTGCCTGACGTATTTGTTGAATTTTTGTACCACGTGGACCAATAATTGCGCCTACAAGTTCATTGGGTAAAGTTACCTATATGAAAAAAAAAACCGTATTAAGAAAATAAACAAAAAAATAACTTACACGTGTTGATGTAAGTAATACAGGATTCGGAGGACATCGAGGACCTAAACCTGGTCCACCACCATATGGTACATCAACAAGAGGAGGTAAAGGTTGTATAGGATACATACCACCACGTGGTCCATTTGGTGGATATGCTCCTCGTGGATTATATCCAACACGATTATCAAGACCACCTGGAGGTGGAAAACCGCCTAAAAAGTTTTAATTTTGAAAAAAAAAAAAACAAAAAAATTCAAATAATCAAACCATAATCATTCACAGTATATATATCAAAATTATGTGGATCATATTGAATTAATAATGTACCTCTTGGTTGTTGTGATGATGAACTCATCAATGAATAGATATGCTAAAAAAACAAAAACAAAAATATATTGATTGTTTTTGTTTTTCTATTCATACTTTAATACATTCAATAATATCATCAATTTTTCCACGTAATGATATAACTCGTTCATGACTTAATGGACAACATAATGAAAATACTTTTATATCAAGATTATATGTTTGTCGTAATTCTTTAACATGTTGTCCACCTTTACCAATAATAGCTCCACAATAAATTTGATAAACAAGTATACGAATTTCTGATGGTATATCACCTATTATTTGATTATCATTATTCAATTGATTTTGATCCGAATTTATTCCTATATTATTTATATTTATATTACGTCGTCGATTAAATGATGAAAGACGTGAACTATCAGTTAAAACAGGAATTATTTGTTGTAAAGCATCAAAACATTGATCATGTTCACCATTTATAATTAATACACGTTCAGGTGATGCACAATCAGGTACTTGAATTATTGTACGTGGATGATCAGCACGAAGTTTTTGTATTGATGAACCACCTTTACCTAAAAAAAATAAAATGAAATAAGAAAATTTTTTTTTTTTTATTTTAAAAAAAATTCATATACCAATAACAGCTCCAGCATCACGAGAAGTCATTAATATACGAATTTCAATACCGGTTGATGATGAATAAGGATTACTGCTATTGCTATTCATACGTCGATTATTATTATTATTTTGATTTCCACTTGTTATACTAATACTATTATGATTATTATTATTTGATACTTGACCATAATCATCATCGGGCGATGTCATCTTGTTTTTTTTTTTGAAAAGAAAAAAGAAAAAGGGGAATATTGGGTTGGGATAGGCACTAAGACCTGATAACTATGTGACGGCAAACACGATTAAATAAGTCTTGAATAAAAGAACATAAAGAAAAAAAAAAATATATTTATATATATATTTAGTTAATATTTAAATTTTGAACATGACAAAAAAAAAGAAAATAAAGTAAAAGAATAGATATTTGTAGTTCAAATAAACATGATCTTTTATAACACGACAATGCATTTTACTTAATACACATTCATAATTTGAACCTGTGGACCATTGAAAGAAATATGAGACAGAGGACGCTTTTAATTTATTATTAATATTATTATATTTAACATATTAATTTTCTATTTCTTAATTTAAAAATAAAAAAATTTTATTAAATAAAAATTTTTTGAAATTATATTCATTTCTAAAGTAATCACCATAGTAACATTACATAAAATGTTGTGGTTGAAAGTATTCATATAATTGAAGTTTCACTTGTAAATAAACAGATTTAAATTTAGATAAAATTGATTAATTCTTCATCATGGAAGAAGATTCACCAGCAGCTGTTGATATTGTTATGAAATATGCAACATATGAAGAATTTCTTGATTCACAAGTTACTCGTTTAGATCTAAGCTATCTTGAAGTATAAAAATAAAGCACTCCACGAAAAAAAAATTTCAATAATTTATTTTATATATTAGGATGAAGAATTAGCTCGACAACTTGTTGAACTTGGTTATCGTGGTAGTGGAGAAGTAATTAAACGAGAAGAATTTTATGCTCGAAAAGCAGCTGCTGAACAATTACTTCTTTCACGACGTATTCAAGCACCGTATGTTTTATTTCAAAAAAAAAACAAAAATCTATTTGAAAACATATTTGATTTACAAATAACTAAAATAGATTTTATTGTTTTCACTTTGTCTATGACTGTATACAATAGGAATATGTTCAATTAATTGATATATTCAGTTATAAGAGTCATTTTTATATACTGAATAGAATTTTTTATTATTTTTATAGAAAATTAGCCAGTGCAAATAAAGAAATAACTGAACCATTATTACGTGAACTTGCTGATACTGAAGAAGCTAATCGAACAGGAAAAATGACAGTAAATTATTTTTTTTTTTTTAAAGTCTTTATTTGATTAATTATGTTTTTGTTATAGACAATTATTTTTATTCGTGATCGAAATTCTCGACAACAAGAAATATCTGGTTATATAGATTATGCACATCGATTAAAATCTGAAGATTTTGAAGTATATTTTGCTGGAAAAAAAAAATTATTACCGAAACCAACTGATCTTAGGTAAAGAAATTTTTCGTCTTTTTCAATTTCTACGATGATTTTTCGATCAGGAGAATTATAATCATATAAAATTTTCAACTCAATATCACAACGTTTTCATAAGATTTTTATCAAACAAGGAGGGCAACAATAATAGGTCTCGAAATCGGGCCATCTTCTGATGGCCTAATCTGAAAGAAATACAAAAATTTTAAACTCTGGTATCGAGCTAAAAATTTCATATGATTTGAATGTTCTTGGTGTAAAATCGATTATTGAGAGGACGGAAAGTCTTTGAAAAAAAAAAACTTTGATGACTTTCATTTTTAGTTATTATAATTGGGAAAATCAAATATGTTGTTCAAATAATACACCTAATTTTCAATTAATAACAAATCATCTTGAAGGTCTATTATTTAAAAGTAAACGAGATAGAAAAATAATTATTGTTGATCCCAAAGCTCAATCCTATGGTGATAATACTACACGAAAAGAAATTAAATCGGATAAATATATACAAGCTATTGTTTATCGTCATTCAACTCGTCGTAAAACATAAGCGAAAAGGCACACCCAAATTATTGATTTACTTTTTTTTCCTTTC